GAAGAACACGATTGGCTCATTCAACATCTTCACGTTAGCGCTATGAAAGCTCAGAGTTCGAAAGTCACCAAGAAACATGTCTCCAGAAACATTCGGGCTGATACGCCAGTGGAATGTGGAATCGCACGAGCTGCAGGCAACCGCGAACTAACGTGCGAACTTGCAAAACGATGCAGACAGGCAATGAAAGAACATCTTAGAGAGAGAAGAGCAGCAGTAATGACCGAAGTTGCATAGGCTGGAGAAGGATTTCGCAAAGCCCACCGAAGCTTCGCCAATTTTAAGATCAAGATGATTTCAATCTGACGCCCAAACGAAAACTTACAGCGTTCAGAAAGGCAATGGAGAAAATCATTCACGAATACTACTCGGATCTCTTCGGTAGCCACGTCTACTTTCCGTCATATGAAATAAATGAGGATGGATATGTTGTACCACCGGTTCTCCCTTCCGAAATCCGACACGCTATTTCGTCGGTGAAGAATCGAACAACATCTGGTCGCGACAGAATATGACCAGAACACCTGAAGAACCTTCCGCCAGTACTCGTAAACACACTGGCTCGGCTCTTCACACGTTACCTGCCTGAATGCAAGGTCCCTAGTCAACGGAAGACTAGCATGACCGTGTTATTGATCAAGAAGGGTGACCTGCACGATATCAGCAACTATCACCGAATCTATTTGCTGTCCGTCGTCTACAAACTTTTCGCTCTAGTCATCGACTAAACAGGATCGACAGAACACTGGACGATGGACAGCCATATGAGCAAGCAGGGTTTCGAAGAGGATTTAGTACGATGGACCACATCCACACGGTAACACGGCTCATTGAAGTATCGCGAGAGTACAAAAGGCCGCTCTGTCTCACATTCATCGATTTACAGAAGGCTTTTGATTCAACTGAGATAGAAGCAGTCTTGGAAGCCCTTGATAGTCAAGGAGTCCCTACTCAGTACACAAAGATTCTTCGTGAGCTGTACAAAAATTTCACAACCAAGATATCACAATTCTACAACGATGTTAACATTGACGTAAAAAGAGGAGTTAGGGAAGGCAATACTATCTCTCCAAAATTATTTATCGCTACCCTGTAGAACATTATGCGAACATTGAAATGGGATAATATGGGAGTGAAAATCGATGGTCGGCAGTTACACCATCTTCGCTTTGCTGATAACATCGTCCTTATAACACCAAATATTAACCAAGCAAAACGAATGCTTGCCGACTTTGATAAAGCCTGTGGAAAGATTGGTCTTCGACTAAATCTCACAAAAACGATGTTCATGAAGAACGGATTGGTTTCGAATGCCCCCCTCACGCTCTACGGAACGATTATCTCCGCATGCTCCAGTTATATCTATCTAGGTCGGGAAATCAATATGAAGAACGACTTAGCTCCAGAGCTGAGCAAAAGAAAACGAACGGCTTGGGGAGCTTTCAAGAGCATCGGGGGTGTAGTGAATAGAACAAAGAACACCCGACTCCGTGCCCACCTTTATTCGACTCAACGGTACTTCCTGCCCTAACGTATGCGTCAGAAACCTGGTCGCTGCGTAAGCAGGATGAAATGTCACTCAGCGTTATCGAACGCGCAGTCGAAAGGACGATGCCAGGAGTATCCTGTTCCACACAAGTAAGGGATGGGATCTGAAGCTCCGATCTGCGTCAACGATCAAAAATCAAAGATTCCGTTCTGTAACGCCAAACAGTCGACGATAAGGTGGGCTGCACACGTAATACGTATTAACGACAACCGATGGACAAGAGCCGTTAGTGACTGGATTCGTCAGGATGTTAAATGCACTGCAGGTACCGACTTGATGGTCAGAATTTTTCACGAAGAGCCTAGAAGAAAAATATGATGCTTGACGAGTCCCTAGAGCGAGCAGAACCCACTGGGCTACTCTTGCACGCGACAGGGAAAAGATTTACTGGCGCTGGCTCGAGTCACTCAACGATCAACGGGACTACAGGTGATGCAGGTGATACAATGCTGACTGTTTGGAAAAAAACCACTTTTGTGAAATTATTTATGTCGAAGATCACTTCGTGTATGGCGCAGTGGTCGGAGGCGCCTTGCAATACACATGCGATCGACCTCAGAGCCCAGGCTCACCAAGCCTTCCATCCCTTCGTAGTCGGCAAACTGGTACCGGACTTGTCTGGGAGGTTAACAGCACTTGCTCAATACATCGGTTAGCCACATCCAACGATACTTAATGAAGTCGAATGCATGACGCATCGCTTAGGGATTGATCAATGTCGAGACGTTTATCTTTATCCTTTAAGATCACATCAGGAATCCCAGTTTCGCCAGATTTCTGCCTCAGCTGAATTCCAACCATGTCCGTAACCTCTTCACCTTATCCGACTCCCGGTCTCGTTAATTCCAGTATTTTCCAGAGGGAATCACGCCGAACACGCTCAAATTCAGAGCGCCCAGTGGGCAGGGCGGAGAGATAGCGCGCGCTAATGCTGATGGGTGCGTCGCTCGTGACGCCGTTCCAGGGCGCTGGGAGTCGAGACGACATCGGATGCTGGCCCTCGTCAGTCGGGCTGTCGGTGCGCGTCGCAGTGTAGGGTGCTGCTGAAGAGAGGAGTTCGTGGAATGGCGGTGTCCCTGCACAGTTGGACCTTGTCTTCCTCGGATCGTAATCTTTTGTCTAAATCTCGATGTTCATTAAAATTTTCGATTTCTCCACAAGATGTTAATGATTTTTGCCCTTCATTGCGCTCGTAGGTAATTTCTGTTTATCGATGATGGGTTAAAATTCTTAACAACCAGTGCTTCTTTTGCCTGTCGAGTACTTTTGTCAGTAGGACTACCATCTTTTAGAAATCGGTGGGTGTAGTCTCGATCTTAGCGTTAAGTAGTTGCTTCCCGTGAACGTACATTTAATACCTCACGCTCTTTCTGAGTGTTCAATTTCGTAGGTCTGGAAAGAGACAAATGCAAACTGCTGATGGATTTGGACTTGACAGTGGTCCTTCATTCGGAGCGGCGCCTCCTCCTGGTTCTCGCCTCGCAAAGTATCTTGGAGGAAATCGAACAAGTAATCCATCAATAAACCTATACTTAATTCTTTCCAGTCATTGAATAATTCTTTTAGGCGGTAGCAGTAGTATACCTGTGAACACAAACGTGAGTCAGCTCGTCAATCTGTTCTTTTTTAGTAACATTGTTTCTACTAGTTCTTTTTTATATCAGGTATCTATAACATACGTTTTTTACATGGCACTCTGCAAGCCAAGGATCAAAATATTTCGAATGGTGATATCCAGAAAATCGATAGGTGTTATTTATGAAACAGCAAGGGAAGCTCCATCAAGCGCCGCAGCCCTTTGGGGTTTCTACAGGTTGAAAATCTAGCGATACCCTTATGTTTTTTCAGACTATCGTCAAAATGACCAAGAGGCTACCTTGGCTTTTCAGTTCAGTAACTTTGCAGCAGAAATAAGTCATATACTTCCATTCTCACTCAACCCATGTGGTCCACTTGGACACTTGGACACTGGGATTGCCCGCCTTCACTGGTTGAGCGGTCACCAACATAGTTTCCATTTTTCGGAATTTTGCTGGCTGATCTCTTGACATCCCTGGAGCCCCGACGTTAGCCTGGCTAGAGTCTTCTCTAGGTCGTCACCACCACAGGCAGTCGCCGCATTTGTGGATCAGAGGGAGATTTGCCACCATGTGACTACTTTGGTACCAGGACGGTGGTGGATCCTAGTATTGGCTTACTCTTAGCTGGGCTTTCTGATGGAAACGCCGATCTTCTCAGCTTAGGAGACCCTGCCATGAGGATGAATCCCCAACTGAACATCGCACCCCAACACTCAGGAGCACCTCCCAACGACGATGGGGCGGTAAACCGTTGGGAGGACGGCTAATTGCAAGCTGTAGAAGACTAGAATTGTATAATTTTACGATAAGAACGCCTCCATTTCTTCGGAAAGCCCTGCGTATTTCACGTTCTTTAGAAGCATGCCATGAATTGTTCGAAGTGGAGAAGCTAAACCACTTTCGATTTCTTGCGTACTGGGACCCTGTGCGCCTGTTTGCCATTGTTTTAGCAGTTTTTTTTTCAATCGGCAACCTGCTGTACTCGTTATTTCAGTTAAGTCGTCGCGCCCACTCTCCAGGCAACCCCACTTTTTTATTTATTTATACCTCTTTCCTTTTACAGTTGGCCGAGGTTTATTTTGGCGTGGATTGCCCAAATGTGGGCTATTTGGTCTATTGCTAGTCGTTTATGTTACTTCTTTCAAGGTTCCCACATTCATACCTCAGTTCGCACAGTTTGGTCTCAATGATATGCAGCAACCACCACCATGTGCGAAGCAGGCTGGATCTCATTCATCGTTCTCATCACATCGATCTGCACCTCCTTTTCATCTCAGTTAATAGTACTTCTGTTAGATGCTCATTTTGGTGTAAAACCCATCTTGTTTAGGCACTGCTAGCGCTTCGACTAATTCTGATTCAATACATCCATACCAGGTACTTTTTGTCTAATAGTAACATTCGATGCTGATGTTTTGGTGTACAACTGGATAACTTACTTTGTGCAAATCCCAACACAATCACCATTTTTTCGAGATTTGGTGGTTATGCCATTGTGATTCCCTGGAATCCCGAGGACAGCCTGGCCAAAGTCTGCCCCAGGTCGTCACCGCGACAGGCAATCGCAGCCCTTGTGGATCAGAGGGAGATTTGCCACAATGCGACTTTAATACCAGGGCGGTGGTGGATCCTGGTATTGGTTTACTCTTAGCTAGGCTTCCTGTTGGAAACGCCGGGCCTCTTTTCAGCTTGGGAGACGTTGCAGGGGGTACGAATCCCCTTGCTGTACATCGCAGTCCAACACCCAAGAACACCTCCCAGCCACAATGAGGCGGTAAACCGTTGGGAGGACAACTCGATAAAGTTTTAAGAAAGTCGAAATCTGACATTAACCTCTCATAATGTTGTATATGGTGCACTTTTGGTAGCGATTCTCACTGTTAATTTGATGTTTTGTAAGAATTTGTCGGCAGTATTCAGGAAAACCATGGCGGGACAACGTATTTTTATCCACACCAAAAGCCGCAACCCTTGAGCACGGATGACTCTAATGGAGGGAACTCACGTGTAAGCAGTGTGTCGGTGCCTGATAATGGAGTCCCGGAAAACCACACTGTTGTTGTAAGGCTTATTCGCTTGTTTATTTATTACTTAACATCTAGTAATTCCTTATGGTTTGTCATCAACTTCCGCAGGTATCTATCTCAGACTTCCTAGCACTATTTTTTATATACATGATGTTGGTTATAATCTTATTTAAGATATTTGGGCTATTTTTAACACCAATTTTCCTCTAATTTGTCATGAAGTTCTTTGTACTGGTCATGAAGTTATTGCACGCTTGGTGTGATGGCAAGAGATCGTTGTGTGATATTTTTACTTACGGTGGTTTCAGGTAATTTCTCCTCCTTTCGGAACTTAAAGTCGGTTGTGTTGATCTTAAGCTTATTTGACCAAAGGTTTTCCTTATTTAAAGTTGAAGTTCTTCCCTATTGTCTCAACCAATGAGAGAAATTCTTTAGAATGCACATTAGCTAGTTAATTGCATATATCAGATTAACAAGCAAATAAGCTCATGTGGAAAATGCTTGAGTCTTTTCATGTTTGGTTAGGGAAGTACTTGATCAAGTATATTTGAAGTTATATTGCTTAATAAGACTCCTCATTGGTCCAGCAAACGTGAAATCCACAGAACTGATCATAGCTTCATGGTCATTCCATTGTCGCCTCATCAACCAAGCAGCAACTGATTTAGTACTTCTATTCGATTACTCCATTACGGTAGATTTTAGCTCGTTACCTTAGGTTTTATTCCAGAATACAAATGGTACCTTTTCGTACCAAGGTCCAGTTCCACATATTGGCAAGTTCCGAGCAAAGGGTGCCAACAATATGTCTCAATTCATATCACCGGATGTTAAGATGGTAATATTTGTGCCTCGTGTGTATGGGCAGTGGCATTCCTATAACAGTTCTTTTCCAAAACACATTTAAGGAACTTGTCCACCGACAATTGGCTATGGAGGCCCGCGCTGATCCAACCGTTTATCCAGATCTGCCACAACAGGTGTTCGGCTAGAGTTATATTCGTTGCGACAGTTTATCCCACTACGATTTTATTTGAAATGCTTTTTAGCAAGGCTAACATTGTCCTGGGAGTTCCCACAACTTTTTTTGTACTGATATGGGGAATCTGCCTTTCTGTGCAATGTGAAAAATACGAACTGATTCTAGGTCGAGCACTTGAATCAGTTGGTTCCATTAGAACAAATCAATCAGCACCATGCAACTCAGTCTGTCTACAAGGCAATTTCTGTTCGTGATGGCGTAACATATTGCATAAGAAGGCTGCATGGTAGTTTTGAGGCTGTGATTGTTTTTTTTTTATTTGCAAAAGAAGTACCCAATAATGATCTTAGTTTTGAAAAGCTATTCGAGATGCTTCTTTAAGCTTTCCGTATATCCTGTCCAAAACAATTGCAACCCTTGGAAACGTGGAAGAAGCTCGTACATGTGAACGTCGTTCAGCTACGTGAAGTTATTGTGAACTGCAAAGCATTCGGTGACAATTGTGAGTTCGTTTCCCTGTGTTTTGAGTTTCCCCAATTTCAAGTATGACTGTTTCAACAGAACTGTGTAGCTCTCATGAACAACCCTGTATTTGCTATGCTTACAGATGAGAATTTACTTTTTGTAGAACGATTTGACTTTGCATTTATCTTTTCCTGGTTCTACCAAGTTCTTCTCCTTACATTTTTTCAACACTCCATCTTATTTGGCTTTCATTGCCATTTTTTTTTCCGAATTACTAATGTCTGTAAATACCCGTTCTGTAACTAAATTATTGTAGTCTCTAGGTTTCTAAGTTTTTGAAGATCAAATGCTTTTTGAAGAAATTTCATTCGGATTTCAGCGTGCTGTGAATACGTAGGGATTCATTTGATTTAGCCGTTGTACTCGTTTACGACTATCACCCCTTGGCAGACTCACTGAGAACTCGTCACTTTGGTCGCATGCTTGGAAGCGGTTTCATTGATGGAATAAGTACGTCCCATCTGTTTCCTGTGGTTCAATTGCTCGAGATTAAATAGTTTAGTGTTTCCTTTCAGCGTCACCTTCAGAAGGCTCTTATGCATAGTTGTAAAGATTTCTAGGTTACTTGCCAAAGCCACTTTTACAGCTGGGGCGAAGATGTCAAGTCAGCTGCCAGGTTTTTCCTCAACTCAGTTGCAACAAGGTGCCGGAGTTGTTGAATGGTTGCTTTGGTCGTACGTGATTCAGCTGTCGTCCGCGTTAAGGGCTGTTCATGCGAATGGATTGGCATCGAGATGCGTTGATCTTTCCAAAATTCTTGTTCATGGCAAGAGTAAGGTAGAGTTCGAACAATATAATCGAGTCCATTTTAAGAGAAAACCGTTATGAAATTTATTAAAGCAACACATTTTAAAGATTCTCCTCAACTGTGGTGGTGTGGCTGACCTTCTCACTCCTGACACTCAAGTTCAGCAGTTACAGGTTTTCATCTTAGTGGTGCAGTTGTCTTTGAAATAGATATTGACTTTGTGACAATACTTTTGTTGTTGAGCTGGAGGACCTTCATGCTTTTGGTCGCGTTCTTCTGGCGTTAGCAACTGGAAGTGCGTTTTCAGCGCGTCGTGATCTTGTACAACAGAGCATGTCTTACGTATCAAGTCATTACAGTAGTGACATGAAAAATTTGATAAGGTAATTCGTTATGTTATTACTATTATCATCACTTCTATCTCTTGAGAGACGTGTGTAGCGCAGTGGTCAGAGACGTCCTGCATTACACTTAGGATCGATCCCTGCGCCTCAGGCTCACCAAGACCTCCATTCTTGCGGAGTTGGCAGATTGGTACATAACTTGTTAGGTTGGATAACAGCACTGGTTCGATACATCGGTAGGCCACCATGAGTTATTATAAAGGCCAGATATGCATTCAGTCACCTCCAAAGGTGCTTGATGAAGTCTAATATGTACGACGCATCCCTTAGATATTGATCGACTCCGAAAGCTTTATTTTTAGTTTTTATTATTTCTATTTCGTCTGATTCATTTTTGCAAGTAATTGTAATTAGTACACGTACATCGATTGTCTAAGTGGAATCATAGTCGTTTCCCCCTCCCCCTCCCATTAAGTTTTCTCCTTTATTCCACCATTCTAAAGCACCATTGAGTGCCATGAAGGATGAAGAGTGTAGAACATTCGACTTTACTCAAACTCCTAAGTATCTTGCCTTGCCCATATAATGACTTACGGTGTCTTACTGATCGATCAAGTCAATGCTGCGTTGTTCCCAGACAAGTCGCTTTGTGAGCCGTGGGCGCGGTGTCGAACCAGTGACCGATCGTGTGTTTATTGTGTGATCCATGTAGCTGCAGCACTACACGCTTCTCTTTGTTGTTATGTTTTCATATAACCATATAGTCATAAATAACCATATATAACCATAAATGATTTATACCGTAATGAATTCGTGTTTTTTTCTGTTTTTTTTTGTTGCTAAAATTGTCTATACGTCTACGTCTTGACATACTATTTGAATAACGGGGCAGAGTACTGAAATTGTCTTCATGCTGTAAGAACGAAGGTTTGTTTTTAAAGCATGTTACATAAATGAGATAGAAAGTTCAGTCTCGAATGAGAAATTGGTTATCTCCCAGCTTACTTCATATAACCATAATACAATTTTTGAACTTTGTTACAACACGTTGAATCTTTTTACTATGTCAGAGTACGTATTTGCATTACTACGTTTATACGTTAGTCCTATTCAGACCGGGGAAATTTGATTCTAGATGTGATCAGTTTTGTAGTTCATGATAAACACTTTGCTTTCGCGATGATTCAAGAGGTTATCGAGCTGATTCACACTTACTGTCGACCAAGGATGAACTTCATTTTGATATAGATATCCATTAGGAAATACTAGTTGTTTAATCTTTCGAACAAAATCCACTTTCTGTCGCGTATCACAGTGCGATCTGCAAACGTATGGTTTTGTTAGAATGTTCGAATCTGTTTTAATAAAGGCTATTTTTTTGTCACTTCACTGTCTTCCATAGGGCACCAATTTATTTACTTCTGTTTGGATTTTTAGTTGGATTGAGATGTTTCTATAACCTGCAGTTCCTTTGGAAATTCATTACGTGACGAACTTTATCAGTTAATGTCCTCGTGTGGCAACGAGTAATCAAATCCTGCTCAGTCTTCTCTCTTTCTCTATCGTGGAAATCAAAACAAATTATTGTTTATTGGAGACTTCTTGACCATATACGACGTTAGTATTGCTGTTTTCTCAGCTTGACGCCGAAGTTTCCTTTCGTAGACGAACTCATTTGGAGTTGCTTTTTTCAGTTCATTAAACACAAATTGTTGACGGAAACATGTGGTTTGAAGTAGTGTGCAGTGTAAAAACAAATATGGTAAGGTTTTTTGATATTTGTGCGTTAAGTTTTGAAAAGGCAGAACAACGAGACATTAATTACAAAGCAAGAAGACGACTCTAAGTCCGACTTAACATGGCTTCTGATGCCGTGAGTGTCCAACTGTGACGTCGCTGTTGATCTGATGTGACACTGAAACTGTGCAATCGCTATTTGAATCGATCGGACCGTTTTCCACAATCGAACCACGGTTGTTGATACTTATTCCAGAAGAATGGACTGCACAAGCTTCGTTTAAACGGTCGCTGTTCTGGAACCAGTATTGAGCACTGTAGGTTTCAGGATTTAATCTGTCAGAATCGATTTTGGAGGAAAACATCGGGTGAAAAACTTGAATGGGAAGCAAATAAATGACTCATTACTAAACTCAACCGTTATAAATCTAAATGGCATTGACTAACTTTTTTCCAGACTTAGATTTGTGTTTATTCAACTATTATTCATATTCAGCTACCTGCTATCTCCACAACCTACTCGTAAATCAATAAACGAGATCATGCCTATGATTGGAGCTCGCTTTTATTCGCAGTTGGAGAGTGCACAAATCCGGAATGACATTCTAGAAAATGAACTTAGCAAGGTGATGATTCTACTCCATTGGTGCTGGTTTTTTTTGTCAACCTTTGTTTAAGGCGTCATATGACCGTTGTATATCTTGCTGCTAATGAGAATGGTTCCACCTATTACTTTTCCTTTACCACATCCTCGAAGATAAAAAACGATTTTTGCTAGGCTGCGACATGAAGAAGTGAATTTTTTTCTGCCTTGCGCATTGTGCACTGCACTCAATGCGCTTTGTCCGAAATTACTCCTTACCCGTTCCTCTCTCTCTCTCTATCAAGAAAAAAAGAGTGTAAGCAAGTTTCTTTTGTGTTTTTCGCCCTGCACTTCTGTTCTTTTCGTAAGGTTTTTGTACTTCCTTTGTTTTTTCTTTTTTTAAATTTTTTGCTTGTACGTTTTACAGTATGTGTCTGTGTTCGTTCTAATATATGGTTTCCCATTTTTCTTTCCAACAATTTTTATTTATTTGTGATGAAAAAAGTTATCCACCTCCAGCTACTATGCCGCGAAACTTGGATAATCGGCTTCGCAACATATATAAAATATATTCTAGTGTTCTTCATATTTTTGTATGACTTCGATTTGCACGTCAGCATGAAACATTATGGCAGTTTCAAGAGAAATGTGAGAACGGTTGACGAAACTCATTATGAGCAGGAAAAACAGATGCGGACATGAACGGGAGCAATGGTTGATACTGACTAATGTTGATGACATGAAAAGACTCGTCATTCTGTTTCTTCAGACGATAAATCTTAGGCTGCCACGGTCAAGGCATTTTCATAGTTCACGTAACGCACGTGGATCTAATTTCAATGGGTCCCAAGACAAGAGGAACGTTTTTCAAGCTGTTAACTCATCTCCAGTTTACAGACCGAGCAAGTTGTTTTCTCTAAGATGTGTTGTGCAAGTCTATTTGTCGGACTTGTCAGTAAAAAATGCAGGAGAATCAGAAGGCTCTTCAAAACGAATGCGTTTGCAAGGTCCTAGTGCTGTTTAGGCGGCACATCTGATTCGGACAAAATAATTCAAATAGGAGACATAGAATGGAATCTAGCTGACCAATTTGCTCATAAAAGGTAACTAGACATGCAGCATTCATTATGTACCGATGAGGAGACCGCAAAAATTCAGTTCTGTTGAATTGATGGTATGCCCCTCATTGTGTTCTTTGTCTGATGGAAGATATCTATCACTCGTCGTACTGTTGGTCGTCAACTGACTACAACAGGCACCAGTAAATTTTCCATTTCTCTCTGTCACGTGCACAAGCAGCGTGGATTCTGCTCGCCGTACGAGCTCGTTGAGTATCACATCTTTTTTCTGTGATTTACATGAAGAGGTTTTATGATCGGGTTGGTGGTTTTCTCCCTCTGCGTTCGATATCACGAGGAATTCGCCCACTATCGGCCTTTGTCCATGAGTTGTCGTTCATGGGCATTACGTGTCCGGCCCACCTTATCTTCGAAAGTTTGCCGTATAGAACGGCTTTGATTTTTGACCATTGACGTAGTTTGGAGCATAGGATATCCTTTCTCGCTTGCAAGGAGCAGGATGTTCCTCATAACATCCTTTCTATTGCACGTTCTGGCATTCTGAATGGCCTTTTATTCTGCTTACATAGCGACCTGATTTTTGACGCTACGTTACAGCAGAAAGAATCGTGGAGTCGAAAAGGTGGGCATGGAGTTGGCCGTTCTTTGTTCTCTTCACTAACATCCTCGATGCTCTTGAAAACTCCCCGAGGTGTCCATTTCCTTCTGCTCAACTCTGTAGACAAGTCATAATGTTTTCCCAACGTAGATAGACGAAGCAGAAGCATTCGTTCGGAGATATTCATTCCGTTAAGCGTGAATGGGGTAACCAACGCGTTCTTCATGAATATCGCTTTATGAGATTTGGTCGTACAAAAATCTTTCCAAAGGTGTTATCTAAGCCGGCAAGCATTCTTTCCGCTTGGCTAATGCTTATATTATTTGTACGATGTCATAAGCAAAGCGAAGATGGTTTAATTGCCGACAATCGATTTCCACTCCCATGTTGTCCCATTTCAGTGCTCGAATGACGTTCTTAGGGTGGAGGTAAATAATTTTGGTGAGACGGTATCGCCTTTTTAACTCTCCCTTTTGAATTCGATGTTAATATCGTTATAAAATGGTTATATTTTGGCTGTAAAATTTTTGTAAAGGTTTTGAAAGAAATCTTTGAGTAATGACGCCCGGACTATCCAGGGCTTCCTTGGCTGCTTTATCTCAACTGAGACGAAAGCTTTCCCTAAATCGATGAACGTGAGATAAAGCGGTCTCTTGTACTCTTGCAATACCTTAATGAGTATCCTTATCGTGCGGGTGTGCTCCATCGCACTGAATTCTTTTCGAAATCGTGATTATTCCCATGGATCTTTTTCGTCCAGTGTTCCGTCAATCCTGTTTAGGATGACTCGAGTGAAATGTTTGTATACGACAGACAGCACGCAGATTGGGCGATAGCTGCCGATATCGTGGAGCCCACCCTTCTCAAACAGTAGCACGATATGGTTGGTCTTCTACTGACTGGAAAGCTTGAATTCTAACAGGTAATGTTTGATGAGCCGAGCCAGTGTGTTTATTATGACTGGCGGAAGGTTCTTCAAATGTTTACATTTTATCTTGTTAAGACTCGGCGTTGTTCGATTCTTCAGCGACGAAATAACACGTCGGATTTCAGAAGAGAGAACCGATGGGGCGACATATCCGTTACTCTTTTATTTCATATAAGGGCAGAAGACGTGGATATTGATGAGATCCGAGTAGTAGTTGTAAATGATTTTCTTCTTTGCCTTTCTGGAAGCTGTAACTGTTCCTTCTGAGCATCAAAGTGCAATCATCTTGGTTTTGTGTTTGGCGAAGTTTTGGTAGGCTTTGCGAATTCTCTTCCCAACCTTTGCAGCTTCAACATCGACTGCTGCTCTTCTCTCTTCAAAATCATTTATCGCCTATCTTCATTGTTTCGCACATTCGGACTTGAGTAGGCGGTTGCCTGTAGCTCGTGCGCTTCTACCTACACTGGCGTATCAGCTCGATTGTTTCTGAAGAAAAACGCTTGTTGGTGACTTTCGAACTCTCGGCTTTCATGGCGCTAACATGAAAATGTTGAATAAGTTGAGCGTATTCTTCCTCGATGTTATCGAGAACGGCATCATCCTAACGCCTACTAATGAACTGAGTAAATTCCAGTTTATGGTAGATCTGGGGTTTCATTTTTAAATTTAGCGGCTTTTTCTTCTTTCCTCAGGAAGTGAAATCTTGTACGAAGGAGGCGATGGTCTGATCTCGTGTAGAATTTTGGGACAACAACGATATCAGTTAGGCAAAACTTTTGATTTACTATGATGGTATCTGTTTGCTCGTGCTATTTTCCAATGGGAACTCCAATGTCCAACGTTGAGAGGAAGACCTCTGGAAGTGCGAGTTACCATGAACGGTTTTGTTCTTCATGATAAACTCGGGCAGCCTCTCACCGTGTTTGTTTTATTCTAATCCGTCGGTTCCAGTGTGACGTACTTCAAGCGTTCTTCGACCGAAGTTATCTGTTCACAGTTAAATGCTATACGAGTTTTCCCTTAGGTGAATGCTTGTTTCTGAGAATTTCGTATTTGATTGACATGCTCTTCTTTATGGTTTATGCACGGTTCGTGTTTATCTAAGTCGTATCCCGACTACTCACTTTAGTGAACATATCGGGTATTCAGTTTGAGGGTCTGCAGAAAATCGAAGTTGTTTTCAAGATTCAGTTCTGCTCGAATTATCTTTGTTTTGATTGTGTCCATACGTCTACTCCTACCTATGTCCCTACAAAGACCTGTTGGATTAAAAATCTGGAGGTGAGATTATCAACATATGACTTCTCTATGTATTAGGTAATTAAAACGAAGATATTTATATTTAAGTGCTTCCAGTAATCATCTGAAAAGTATATAGTGTTTGTAAAATGTGTAGTTGTTGTGGATGCCACACGTGTTTTATGCAAACAATGATATTTCCAAAGATAAATTGTGTGAAGACTATTGACGAAACACACTCTTTAACCCACCGAGGAGCTTCGAAGTTTAAGAGCATCAGAAACAGAGTACTTCTCATCGGCTCATTCTGTGGAGTAAAAATCGAAATTATCGCGAGATTTATAGAGGCACGTGGATCCTCCAAAAGCTCACGTTGTAATTTGTTTTGTGTGTCAAATACCATTCGACGTGTATGTTATCCTTAGTAGCGAAGCCATCGATTTGATACAGAGTAATTGGGTTTAACTCCATTTGCCTGGTCGGAAGTGCGCGACCAAGAACACATCGCGGTGGATGTGGATCTTATAAACGCTTTAAGGTAATTTGAAAATACCGCTTTATTTTAGGAGCTGGAGAATGGTCGTTTATTTCGTATTCTTTCCAAGATAAACACCATCGTTGAACGCCCAGAGTAAGTGTTTTTTCAAAGTTCATCAATGAAATTGTTATTGTGTGGTAATCTCTTATCCTCATCTGTTCTCCTTTACAGGCACAATATGGATCCCTCATGGTCTGAAACGGGGGATCGATTTCTTATAAAGCTATTCAGGGATTACGTATTCCATCAGGTAAGGTCTCTGTGTAGTTCTCGTTAGTCCTTGTCATGGATAACCGATGTGTAGGTGACAGAAAGTGGAAAACCTTGGATGGATATGGCGCACATTGTGCAGTGTCTTAACAAGGTCAGGTAATCTCCATTTTATACCACCAAATTCATTTGCTCGTCATTTCTTTGTCATTTTCGATTTTAAGTCGAAATTTTCTGAAACCATGGTTTTCATTTATTTCCTAACATTTTGACGCCTATTTATTGTAGCTTGACGCTGGTGTGAATGAAAAAGTTCAACTTGTGTCGCGTGATGGTTACAATTTCATTGTTGTTTCATATGGTGATCTAAGACGGTATAGCTTTTTGCACTATAAAAGCGGAAATTTTGTTCTATCGTTTTGAAGTCAATCTTCATTTCCTTCTGAACATTCTAGGTGTCTCGAGGCGGCATTCAGAGAACTGTCAACTACCCCATCTGTTATTCCGCGTCATTAGTTGTTATCTTCGTATGGCTTTAAATTTATCAAATTATATTGTTCTGTGGAGTTTTTACTAAATAGATGTTTGCTGTTTTCAGGTTTTTTGTTCGAATTTTTGAAGTGTTCGTTTCCGATTACTGCTTCTTTACGGATTCCTTGTCGTCGACCTCATCTGTGTGCTTTGAATGACTCTTTTAAGTTTATATATTTTAACCTTACCAGTGTTGAGGGATGCTGAATTTCATTGTTTCTTGGCTTAATGTTGGTCTTGTTTTATTGAACAATTTCACTTTATCCACCTAACATATTTTTTTAAGTAAGATCGTCTTAAACGAGAGGCAAAGCCAATATTTTTGTGTCACAGTGCTGTAAATCGTAGGTAGACGATAGTGCAACAATAAGTTTTTTTATGGGATGGTGCTGGAGGAGTTTAAAATAACATATAAATATGCTAGCAAAAATCTGTAACGGCGACCAAAGTATCTTGATTTGTACTATTCGAAAATTCTGTGAGACGAAGAATACTTTAAGGAGCCTAATTTATCCAAGTTTCAGTAATTTCCCTTGGTGCTTTATTTAAAAATACGATCAATCGTCTCTTTCCGATCGATACAGCGCAGATATATATCAGCAATTTTTCCTAGATCCTTCGAGAACTCAGTTTCTAGTGCCTTCCTTTAGATTTTAGTTCGTGCTTTCGCGTTGCTCTGAAAGAGTTATCCGTTTTTTCATCTTTACCCGCATTTTTTGAATGACACTGTGTTTTGAGAATGATTTCAATGAAGTTAAGATATTTAGAACATGTATTTGGTGGCTGATATGCGGAGTGCTTATGGTAGTGGTAATGTAGGGTTGACTATTTTGAAATGCGACCAACACCAATCAGTATGATCCCTTTAGGTTTAGAAGTTTTGTTGTTTATAATATATGCATTTATTTCCCTTCGGGATGTTTTCGTAAGTCTTATTCGTTAACACTGTGAGTTATCCTACCCCACCTCTTGTGAATTATCTTGCGCTGTAGTTTGTTTATCATACGGTATACTGTTGCCTCTACATCGGAGCTGTCCTGTGCGTTTTTTTCTGCTCTTCATTATTTCATTATCATTATTTCCCCCTAGCTGGCAATTTATAGTTTTTCGATGTATATGAGACGATGGTTCTGCATAGTATTTAAAAGTGTGTATTTGCATTATCGGGTTTGCTACAAGATTGCTAATGCATTGCGTATATTTGGTAGTACTTCAACAGTACCCGAACGGATGAACAGTACCCGAATGTTCACCCGAGCGGTCGCTTGTTTACTAAGTATTGTTTATCTCTCGTTTTAATCAGTATTGCATGTGTAACTGTTAGTCGCATAACTTGCTAATATCATCCTGCATAATAGGTTTTGTCAGTATTTGTGATATTTGTTTTCCGTGGCGTTGTTTTGAATAGCTTTGAGAGCCCACCATCGCTTCCGAAGAAACGCATGTTATTGTTATCTGTGTGAGTTTAGGTTTCACAGCTGTGTTGTATAAGTTTTATTCCTAATGTACAAAAGACGGATGTGCTTCCGCTCTCATGCTGGCATGTGATAGTAGCCGTTACTGCTCTGTAGTTAGTGACTCTATAGTAATTATGATAATCGACAACTTATGCTCCACGAGACTTTAGTGCTCGTTCGCTCCGTTTCGTTGAGAGCATCATCGTCCCATTCAGTTTTCTTCCACGTGTTTTCAGTTGTTGTTTTCACTCTTTGTTCATATACTGATGTTATATTTTCTTTGTTAACAGTTAAAAAGATCGAAATAAAAATGAATTAAACATCGACGATGGCTTCGCCTGCACTCAGTGTGGTTGTTGTCCTGAAGAGGTATCTATGAGCGTATTGGACGCAGCTTTCCTTAAGACGGAACATTATCTTAACATTTTTAAACCTCAGGCAATTGTCTTGATTCTATGACGTTTTGCTAAGCTATTCTTATGTTGGTCATAGTTATTTCACCTCATAGAACGCCTAATTTTTCAAAATTTTATCGGTTTCTTTTTTTTTTCACCAGAAGCTTGATTTCGGTTCAAATGGACTTCCCATTCAAGTTTTTACTGCACCACTTATTTTCACGTAAGCGATAATTTTTAGCTGGGCAAAGTTTTATTTACCTTGATTCTTGAGAGCTAGAAAACCCTCCTCTTTCCAAAAGTTTACCGCCTCATCATGGCTGGGAGGTGTTCCTGGGTGTTGGGCTGCGATGTAGCGGGTGAACTCATCTACCTGTCAGGGCTACCCAAGTTGAGAAGGAGTCCGGCGTTTCCATCAGGAGGCCCAGCTAAGAATAAACCAGTACCAGAATCCACCATCGTCCTGGTATCAAACTCTTCGCAAGGTGGGAAAATCTCCCTCTAATGCGCAAGGTCCGTGATGATGACGACGACCTGGAGCAGACCTTGTCCTGGCAGTCCTCAGGACTCCAAGGAACCACAATGGATAAACCAGCAAAACTCAGAAAAAATGGTGGTTATTCTAGACCCGCACAACAAGTGAAGACGGTCATTTAAGTTTGCAAGTTGGTGAGAATATCTTGCTAGGCTATCCAAGGTTATCATGATTTGCTAATGAATGGCAGAATGGCAACGGTTCCAGAAATCGGCTAACCTTTAGTTGGCATTCCGGATTGAAATGTCTGCTAGGGAGATCAAACCTGAACCTCTGTCGTGCAGTACAGTTTTAGACGTAGGTGGCTCCTTTCCCTGTTACTGTGGGGGAACAGCATTTTCAGGACATGTTCCACTAACTATTAGTAATTTTGCGATAAACGGCATATTTGAGGAACTGATAATTTGAGGTGTGTGAAGTTTTTCTAGTTTTCTGGTACGTAAGTCAGTTTGGGATATGACCATCAAAAACTACTGGAGTAGTTATGAAATCGGGGTTGTGGATTTTTTAAAAAAGAGCGAAAGAAATAGGCCGAGAGGAAACGTTTTTCAAAAAGGAAGAAAAGATGTGTAGGCTTGAGAAAGTGGGAATTCCATTACTTAGTTGGAACGGAACCAGTGGTCAGTTTTTGTACGGTAGCTTTGACATGCTATAACTGGATTGAAGACGTCTTTATTAGAACAGAAACCGTTAGCACGTCATATTTTTGCTAGTGGGATACAAGCTTCCGTGCAATACGGAATCATGAATATTTGAAAGCAATGAGTTTGTTGATATTTTTTGGAAAACTTGCAGATTTCGTCAGGGAAAAGTTTCAAATATGCTTGAAAAGCAATGATTAGCAGAACGTCCAATGAGTACGGTGGGTGTCCAGGTCCAGGGCAAGGTCCCATATCTCAGCTCTTAATTTTTGCAACATTAGTTGTACCGCATATAACCAAGTGTTGTCCTGCAAGAGAATCGAACAATCATTGTTTGCATGTCGTTTGTCACATAGGATACACTGAACGTCGTCCTATGTGACAACACGATCAAGGGAGAGATCGTTTTCGTTTCCGGAGCGTGAAAAAGCACAGGACAGGCATGACGATTTCGGTACCGTTTGTGCATTTGAGTACAAGCACAATTCGGTGCTTCTTCACCTTTCCAGTATCATCAAAACTGTGAACAATTATTGAATGAGAAATAGCGAATCGTCTCCAATCTCGCCGAAACAGTTAAGGAAGCCCGAGGGAGACGCGAAGCTCTGATTGTCGTCTACAGATAGTCGTTGTCAACTCATGATATGTGCCAACAACCTCTGTTGTTATCACGACCCATATCTCCGTTACGAAACCGACCCCATGCTTCGATGACATTACAAGTTGTTGTGTCGTCGGCACTACGACCAAGTTTGAACTCATTTAATAAAACGATATGGCTCTTCCATGTCCTCTGTTACTTGGTTTTCTTCCCATTCGTTTCCGTCATTTCAGCTAGCCTAAAATCAATCGAATACTAAGAGAAGTATCACTGGAGATAACGAAAGCATTCAAAAATGAGATGCAGCAATAATACCGTATATGAATGTCTATTACAAGACTTGTTTGCATGTTTCACAAAGATAAAAACAGCAGCTGCTTTCATTCCATCCAAGGGAAAAGTGCATCTTCTCGGTCAAGGTGGTTAGATTCTAATTTTTCGCTTCGCGCGTCAAACTTATGACCTGTATTTCGTATGCGTCCCAAACCTGAGGAAACATAACAAATAGGTGTGCGAAGTGGTCAGGATGTGCTGGAACTGGGGGGAAGAGAGTGAGTCGGACAATGAATGTGATGGGGGAAAAGCTGATGACCAATGCCATGCCATGGTGTATCGTCACATCTGCCTGTACATGGCTCATTCGCAAAAACGTTTTTCAAAAGACCGACTTTCTATAAACTTCGGCGTAGATAGTTGGTATATTTATTTATATGGTCTTATAAACTGATCTTATTAGGCTGACGTTTCGGCGGATTTCGCCTTCTTCAGAGCCCGCTCACTATTCTCCTCCAGAGGTGGTCCTCCAAATATTTAGCACAAAAGTTTTCCTTCGTCTCGCACTTCTTCCACTTGGCGAACATATCGTCTCTGATCTTATTAGCTTCGAGCGGGACTCTCACTCGTAACAGCACGGCTCTGGAGAAGGTAAAATCGCTGAAACATCATCCATCGACCAACAATATCAACAGCAACGACAACAATAACGAAGACCTATGCCAACGTCGCATCGGCTTAAGAGGATCAGTTTATAAGGTCATGTAAATAAATATATCGTGTTTTTCCTTCTTTGAAAGTGCTGAGGTATGCTCCTGTCTCCTTCGTTTTGTCAGCCAGTGATCTGCATTGGCCATATCACATATCAGTCGTGAATTTCGAAGGACCTACGCCATCAGACGTTCCATCTTTTTCAGTGTCGCTTCCACTTTCTATATCATTTATTTTACTACCACTCCCAAAATTGTATATCATATCGTTAGCTAGGTTTTCAGATGCTTCTAAATATCTGCAACATTTTGTTAACCTTCACTAGAGCTGTATGTGGTCGACGGCTTGAGCTATCGGATTGCTCTGCGCGCGGAATTTCGTCCTACATTCAGGGATTAAATGTACTGAAATCTGTAGTTTTACAACTTAACACTTGAATATAGGTCGAGCAACTTCTTAAGTATTTGTACAAAAGTGCTAACTAACACTGTTAGCCTAGTCTTCGTAGTACCAGTGCTTATGCTTGGACAGTACGAGCTGACCCGGCTCACGATTTCCAATAGCGACTTGCAAGCGTGCGAACACGCCGCGCCGCGCGACCCGGTTAGGTTCTGCCGTGTGCGAAGTCGCGTAATCCACCCACGAGAACGCGTCCAGAGCTCGGCGACATGTTTCGGACGGTCGGAGAAGTTGGTTTCGTGTTTCCACGTGGGTTATCCTCACCTACCGTGTAGAGACGTTGGATTCATTTTGTGTTTGTTTCATTACTGTCGTGCACGTTATCCAGTTCTGCTTCCGCTACTCAAGAGATGGCACTTCGTATGACTGAACAGTATTTCTCTCTTGGAATTGTTCGACATTGATTCAAAACATAATCGTTATGTAAAGGTGGTCCTCCAGCACCGTAACTTTCGTTTCTTGTGTGGATAATGGTTGATGCTCGTTGGTTTTGCCGAAAATGTTTGATTATACTACGAACTCACTTGCGCTATGCCCTTACAAGACCTTATTTCAGTGCTGATGCTGCTGGCGTGGTTGAAGACGGTGTTCTGGTGTTGTTTTGCTTCATTGCTGATAGCTTGTTGTGCTGATGATGAGACTGTAGAAGAAAAGGTGACGAGGCTTTGTGGTTATTTCGGTTTATAACGGTTGATTTTAATATATCAGATGTTGTGACCGTCCTCCACTCTTTTATCATCCTTCATATTGTGTAGGTCTTTTTAAGTGAACACAGTCAGATGAGCTGAGATCTTGAGAAAATGTCTGGTTTTCTAGATAACAAGGTAGTAATTAAGTAAGATAACTTTCTTTTCTGATATAGCTTCTGCTAGTATTTCGTTTTTTTTTTGTGGGACACACTAGTCGATGGGTTATAAAATTTATGTTGGGTGAATAGAGGTGGGAATAGAGGTTGATATTTCTCTAAAGTTTTCAGTACATATAAGATGAGTACTACTTTTGATGGACGTTTCATTGTAAGGAAATCATTGTTGGGCCATACTTACTTTCTCATATTTTTATTAAAATTATCAGTCTACAAAGTCCTAATTTAGTCAGTGAAGCTCCGGTTTTACCCAATAAATTTTTATGGCGTTCTAACTGATCTGATATAACCACAACGTTGCTGAGATATTTGCAAAACTCTGGACCGCAGGTGTCTATGGTGGGGAACGAACGCGCTATTGTCCTTTCCGGGGAGTAACGCGTTCACCACCACACCATGCGGGGGTTGATCTGGGGAGCGCAAATCCCCGCTGACGGGTGATTGCTGTGGCAAAAAGATCGATAGAAATAGCTGAGAGACGTGCGAAACAAAGGACCCGCATGGTGTGGTGGTGAACGCGTTACTCCCCGGAAAGGACAATAGCGCGTTCGTTCCCCACCATAGACACCTGCGGTCCAGAGTTTTGCAAATATCTCAGCAACGTTGTGGTTGTATTCCGCTTAGTAACCTGCCATGAAATTTATAGAAGGCAGAAAACAAAACGTTAAACATTGATCTGATATAATTCCCTGGTGATAAGTGTCACTTGTAATTTCATGAATCGTTACATCATGTAGTGAACACCTTCAAATCATCAGTTTGTCTTTGTTACACTCTAGAGCTGTGCATTGCACCTTATTCACGGAATGCAAAAAAGCCAGCAATTTTTGAGTCAGACCTGTGGTGAAACTGTACGCATAGGAAGATTGCTGTTCTATTCTCAAAGCTTGCTTGTCAAACCGCTTCAAAATAAAGGTAAAACTTTCCGGTGGCCTTCCTAGACCGCCCGCTGTGTGAATTCTCAGATACTTGGCGTTGATTTTTTGATTCCGTCGGAGTGTAAGGTACAGTCTTTACTTGCCAACTTACATACGGGCGTATGTAGAAATATGTTTAGTCATAAATGGGAATAGAATTCAGTTTGACTTAGTTGAGACGGAAAGTCCATATCACAGTTTTATTGGTTCAACCGTATATCGATGAAACGTAGTGACTCTAACGTAGGTTTCTAACATAGGCAGATCTGTTATATAATATTAGTTAACGCAGTTTCCTCTTATAAAATGGGAGTGTTTCAGGCTTCTTTTATTCCTTCGAAGTTCGTGGCACCAAAGCTCTCGTTTGTGCCTCATTTTTCTGAGTTTTTTGTAACGCCAAATGTTATTGGTAAGCGATGGATTGTAAGTACGGCCAAGAAAGAGGGAGTTGGGGAGGAAATCGCTAAATATGATGGTATATTTTCATGGTTGTATGTAGTTCTAAAGTCTTCACTAGTTTTTTTTTTGTATAATTCACTAGTTTTTTTTTGTATAACTGCATCAATGTTACAGGTAAATGGGAAGTTGGTACTCCTTCTGCGTTATCTATCGAAGGTGATTATGGTCTCATTGTGCGTACTAAAGCTCGTCATCATGCGATCGCTGCTAGGTTCAATAGACCATTCTCTTTCGCTGAGAAGGCATTAGTAGTACAGTAGGTTTCTCCCTTACTGCTAGTTATTTCCAACATTGCATTTCTTACAGGAAACCGCTATTATGAGTTTTGAATTCAAATATAGGTACGAAGTTCGTTATGAAGAAGGACAAGAATGTGGTGGAGGATACGTGAAGTTATTGAGTGAAGGTGCCGAAAAGAACCTCGCCAATTTCCAGGTTGTGCTTTCATGTGTATTAATGGGTTATACTTATGTGTTTATTTCGCTTCGAAAAGAAAAATTTGTGTTTCTAGGACAAAACTCCATACACTATCATGTTTGGTCCAGACAAATGCGGTGCTAACGGCCAAGTCCATTTGATTTTCCGTTATAAGAATCCAAAAAATGGGTCCATTGATGTTAGTTTGATCGCGTACGTCGTTTTACTAGCGGGCTCTGAAAAGCCTTACTGCAGGAGTATCACGTCAAACAACCTTCAAACATCGGTTCTACGTACTGGGATGACCACGAAACGCATCTCTACACTTTAGTGGTGCACTTAGATGGAGCGTATACTATCTCAGTAGATCAGAAAGAAGTGATTCGAGGAAATATGCTCAGCGTATGGTTTATTGAGCTATAGATATGTTGTAATTTTTCGCTTTTCTTCATTTGCATTGCAGGATCTTGTTCCACCACTCCAACCTCCCAAAGAGATCGCCGACCCTCACGATACTAAGCCAGTTGACTGGGATGACAGGTAATCTTAGAGCAATGTTAAAGTCTTAGTATTCATGCTATCTACAGTATAACGGAGTTCTTCATGCTGACAATTTTGTAACTTTAATGTTAGTTGCAACATTCATTCTCAGGGCTGAAATTGACGATGAATCTGCTGTGAAACCAGATGATTGGGATGAGAACCTACCTCGTGAAGTGGTTGACGAAAATGCTGTGAAACCCTCCGATTGGCTTGAGGACGAAGTTGGTTGATTCCTCAGCGTTTAATTTGTGCATTGTTATCTGCCTGAAAACGTTTCGACATAGAAATGCTTGCGTTTTGCGGTGTTTTTTTTTGTTTTGTTTTTGTGAACTTGTTTTTTCTAAACCGTTATAAAACGTTAATCATTTTTGTGGAGATCATATTTATTTTTGATTATGCGCGGACTCTTAGTACTATTATTTGGTAACAAGCACAATCTATTTCCGATATCTACATTTTTTTCACTGAGTAAAGTTGAATCGTTGGTCCGTTTTCGCCAATTTTAAAATGAATGCTTTAGTCAGAGTTGATCCCCGATCCGGAAGCGGTGAAACCAAGTGACTGGGACAGCGATATGGACGGAGAGTGGGAACCACCAATGATTGACAATCCAGCGTGTAAACATGTTAGCGGTTGCGGTCCGTGGAAAAAGCCCCTCATTCCGAACCCACTGTATAAGGTCTTATGAGCGTTTCTTTTGTACTTTTTATTATCACCACTGTATCTCCACCATGAATCTCATGCATTGTTGACATTCTATGTTTCAGGGCAAATGGATTCGCCCACGCATTCCAAATCCTAATTTTCGTGGTGTGTGGGCTCCACGGCAAATTGAGAATCCCGGCTATTTCGAACCCGTACCCTTTGAGGGTCTTGCACCTATCACAGCAATTGGAATAGAACTTTGGACAATGAGTCAGAATATCGTTTTCGGTAAGTTAAAAAGGTGGTTTCTTTACTAGCTAAGAGCGTAGTTTTTTTCATCGGTTTTAGTTGTCGTGTTATTGAATGCGAAGATATGTTGTTTTTGCTTGTAGATAATATTCTTGTATGTGATTCGGAAGATTTGGCAGCTGACATTGCTCGACAGACGTATACCGTTCGACGTGCTGAAGACGCACGGTTTGCGGCAAGCCAAGGCAAAGGGGCGGGAATAGTGCAGGGCATCATCGACGCTGCGAATGTATGTTCACCTCCAAATGCGTGATTAAATGAATACGTGTTGAGTTTCCATGATCACCATGAGTCTTGTTATTCAGGAGTATCCTTGGTTATGGGTTGTCTATGTGCTCTGTTTCCTCATTCCTATCATTTTGATTGGTGTGTGTTGCTTCGGACGCAAGTCAAATGCAGAGATTTCAACTGGGCAGAGAAAGAAAACTGATGCTGTCACTGTTGACGATGAGGTGATGCATCACTTTGCATTATTGTTTGTTCACATATTATAGTATCTGTAGGTGCCGAATCTTGTGGATGATGAAGAGGAAAAGGACCTAGAGGATGCTGAGATTGAGGACGTAAGTATTTCTTACTCACTTTACGGTACTTGATATTCTTCAGAGGTACTTTAGGTGTCAAAACGTAGTTCACAAGGATCACCAAAAATTCTGCAGAAAGCTCACAAGGTTATGAAAGACATCGAAGTAAGTTATATTTCTCACTTTTTCCCTTGCGGTTATTACTTTTCAACATCATTAGCTTGTGTAAATTTAGGATGATGAAGGGAATCTCAGTGAGCCCGATTTGGTGGAAATTGAGCCCGCAGACGAAGCGGCATCGTCCGCAAAGAAGTCTCCAACCATTACAAAAAGACGCGTGCGAAGGCAGGATTAGGAAGTGTAATAATAAGAGCTTTGATGAAACGTTAACTCATAGCATTGTTCCAAAGTGTTGAAGTATTCATCTGTAAGTTGAATATTTCTCTTGGGTACTTTAAATCGTCATCATTACATCACCAAACGGCGGCTCGCTTCTGTTAAATAGCTCATTCCCCGTATTTCTATTGCACCATGTTTTGCTTTTAGTGTATGGTGAATATTAGGGATTTCTTTTGTACTCCGTCCTCTTACTGTTGGTTCTGTCTCCAACAGTGTTCTCCATTCAGTGACCGGTTGCATTATGGGACTGTGGTTTACTTGTTTTTGCAGTTCTTTTTTCGATAATTTTAATGAACGATTGTTATATACTGTTATCCATCTGGTATTTGCATGAGTTTTGGAATATTTTGGGGCATCATTCTGATGGAAATTGACCATAGTGTCGATTTAGACACCTGTGCTTGTGTGGTTGTCTAAGTAGAGAAAGAAATGTTAGTGTAGGATGTTGGCACTGTATCAAAGTATGCGTTCAGAAAGCTTAAATCATAAAGCTAGAGCAGTGACGTTGTACTCATCCTTTCCCTCTGAAGATTCATTCTTTTGAGAATAGGGACAGATTTCATGTTTCCCATAGAGGATTTCATAATAGTGCATGGTGTGCTAGAGGAATTAAATGGTTATTGTAAGTCGTAGATTACCTGTGATCTGGTCTTCGTTCGTAAACTCTATTCATTTTCTTCTAAGGCGATGAAGTAATTGACTGATGTCAACGGAGATGCTAAGTTGCAAAGCAGCGTGAAGTGTTATTGTTCACTAGTTTTGAGTGGCGAATATGGTCCTTTTGTTTACCAAATTTTTAAGACGATTCCGAATGAGTCACTCGCATACAGGTCCACTAAAGAATGTAATCCACTCTCGACTACTGAATAGAAAGGAACATTGCGGATGGCATAATCTCTACAGAAGTAGTTTCCTTTCCAATGATTTGTTTTAGCGCAGAAAATTCTCTAGACTTCTTGTATATAAACCATCCAACAGAAGCTGCAGAACACATCCAAATGCTCATAGCAATGTATATGATAATAGTAAAAGCTAAGGATAAAGCTCTCGGCGTTGATCCCTGAGGGATGCGCAATGCATCCGACTTCATTAAGCATCGTATTGAGGCGATTGAATGCATATCCGGCCTTTACAATGACTCGCAGTGGCCTACCGATGTATCGGGCCAGTGTTGTTATCCTCGCAGACAAATATTAATACGGAGCAGGGATCGATCCCATGTGTTACAAGGCGCCTCCGACCACTGCGACACAAGCGCCCCTATGATCATAGTAACATATAGTAGATTGCAAGAAGTGTACTACTTAAACCTTTCCAACGGTTTACCGCCTCATCGTCGTTGGGGCGTTCTCCTGGATGTCGGATTACGACGTACAGTGGATGGATTCATCTCTTCAACAAGATCTCCCAAGCTAACGAGCCGGGCGTTCCCATCAGGAAAGCCAGCTAAGAGTAAACCAAAGCCAAAATACCCCATCGTCCTGCTATCAGACTAGTCGGATGATGACAAATCTCGCTGTGATTCGCAGAGGCGGCAACTGCTTCTGGTGGTGACGACTCAGAGCAGACTTTGGCTAGGCTGACCTCGGGGCTCCAGGGAACCACATTGGCTAGACCAGCAAAACTACGAAAAGGTGTAAATTATGTCGAGGACCGCACAACCAGTGAAAAAGAGGCATCCAAGTATCCAAGTAAATACATTACTTAGACCTATAAGACGATAGACCGAAGTCCTCCCTATAATCCGATCGTGTCCACATACTGTTAAGTGCTAATGTTATCGGGAAACTATTGTCTATTATCGGAAAAACAGGCACGTCCACAACGACATGACGTTAGGAATCGTCCTATGCGGCATCAAAGTAAAATTAGACGTCGCATAAGTATTAAATAACCGGTGGTAGAATCGAAGGTGCTTAGCGTAACTTCACTAAACCAGCGGAGTGTTATTTCGTTCGGTAGTTCAGCCTTTCCATAGGTTTACCCCATATTCAATGAGAGAATAGGAGAAGATGAATAAGCGAACGCCTCATCAAGAATTTGTTATCGTGCACGTTTATAAACTGCTTACCTATGCCTCAAATTTGAGATGGACAATGGGCGCTCCAGTTATTCCACGTATCTCTCTCAATTGCAACTTTACCTTAAATATTCTTATCAACAGGGTGTGATGGCCATGTCCGTAAGCCATTATGGTATGGATACTACGGAGTAAAAAACTGGCAAACTAGCCACATGTTCTTCGTCTACTTTACTTCCTTAGGAGATGCCGATGGTATCTACTCATTCAGCCTTAGCTCTTTATAATATGCCTTGCCGATGCCATCTTACTGTTCAATTTCACTTCCTGTCAAGATTTCAATCTTGTTCACTAGAGTTTAACTTAGTTCAGTGGGAGACATTTGAAACTGAATTCTTCGAGAAAATAAAGATACATGGAAGGTAGAGCGTGCGGTGTTAATAAATCCCTGTGGGATATGTTATGCATTCATCTTCATTAAACATCGTTAGAGGTGATTGAACGTATATCTGCCCTATACATATCTGGTTCTTGGGTTCGGACTGCAATGTAAAGCGGGGATTGATCTCCTGGCAAGGTCTCCCATGCTGAGAAGGAGTAAGGCGCTTCCATCAGGAAGCCTAGCTAAGAGTAAACCAATACCAGGATCCACCACAGTCTTAGTATCAAAGTCGCATGGTGGCAAATCTCCCTCTGATTCACATGGGCTGGGACTGCCTGTGGTGGTGAAGACCTGGGAAACACTTTGGCCAGGCTGACCTCGTGAATCCAGGGAACGAAAATGGCTTAACCAGCAAATCTTCGAGAAATGGAGCTTATGCTGGGGCCTGCACAACCAGTGAGGACGGGTTATTCAAGTATCAAGCCTCAAATATCAAGTAAGTAACTGGCAAAAGCAGCTAATTTTGTGCGGCAAATACATAAGGTGACTGCCAATTTTCAGTCGCTTTCGTAGTGAAACATATGTCTCTCACCTCGGTCAGCATCGTCCATCCCGCAAAACACTTGTGCCCTTTTGATCTTACTTCTAATTCTATTATACACACCCTCAGCGTTCTTATATGTATTCTGCCATGCTTTTGAGGCGTATCCTATTCTTGTCCGTGACTTGGAAAACTCGTCCATCATCCGATCACACTCCTGTCCGCATTTGCTTAAGTTCCCTACGATGTTTAAAATGTGCTTCTATGTCCTCCTACTTCTTTCACACAGATTGCATGAAGTTGCAACGACTGTAATTTTGCAACTTTTTTCAATTTGCAATCTCTACGTGCACTGTTTTCTTGATGAGCAAGCACTGGCTTCTTATTGCAGCATTTACTCATTCACAATGGCTGTCGTTTCGGTAGTTTCGCCTTCTCCAAACCCTGAAAAAAATTTCCGCCCAATCTGCTCAGCCGGACACTTTGATAACCTCAGCAGATGAAACTTAATGCATAAATGTTCCCTCGCTTAATAAACAGTTTCCCTTAAATACCGTTTTGCTATTCGTAAGTCTTTTAGTTATTTGGAGGAACACCGGTTGCACAGAGTCTTACTTGGGAGAGTGCTGGCTCAGGTCAAAAGATCTGTGGCGCGAGGTCACACATGTTCATAAGGCGCTCTTCCTTTCCGTTCATTTTTGAATTATTTTAATCTATTCAAAATGCCTGAGGAGTTTTACGTGGCGGTATTTTCAATTCTTCTACGAGAAGAATGATTTTTACTTCTAAACCTCTGTGTTGTCTCTTTGTCCTATACGCACCTAATGGAGTATTTGCTTTAACTCTAAATTTACCGACTAGATGTTCACTTATGCGGACACACATGGTCTACCCACTTTGCGAATGTATTCATCCTTGCATGCTTTATAAAAGTCGGACCGTTTTCGAGCTTGCGAAACCACCGTATCCTCCGCTAGGGCAAATGTGCAGTTTTGCTTTATGCATAGACGCTCATAGAAACCGTTACGAGCTAGTTGGCGTCTTAGAGTGTTAGGTAGTATGCAAATCACTCTACTGATTCCTCTAAAACGGCCTTTTTTGAGAAATAAACGCAGCTACAAAACGTTGCTTGAAGGAGCTGGTCTAGAGAATTCGGTAACGTTGATTGAAACAACACCGAACACCATCAGATGCCGGTTAGTTTGTAGTCGTTTATATTTGCCCTAATGGAAGAGACGGTAACTGCATGAGTTCGAGTACGTTATGTCTTATCTCTTTTAAAGCATATGGGGATGAATACGTTGGGGAAACGGTAGACCATGCTCCATCCGTATAAAAAAGCCCCTAGATGACAAACATAAAGTTAAACAAGACATTTCACTAGGCGCGTTGGACATAGAGACATAGCAGAGATTTAGAGATAAAAGTCACTATCGTTGTACAGAAATCCAAAGCTCAGCGCGTAAAAGTCGTGAAGCGTTTTGGATTGATTCCAAAAACCCAAAAATGAATCGCTAGGAGGAATGCCTTGAGATCGCGTGTGACATAGCGCAATACCCCGGACTGATTCAGTGATCTGAGCCAGGCACAATCCTCGCCCATGTAAGAACATTGAGGTACTTAAACAACAAAGCGGTGAGTATTTAAGAGAAGGCGTTGATTGAGAGAGTAATCATTTGTTTATTCAGTTTTGTCTTCTGAGGTTATGTAAGTGGTTCGCTGGGTAGATT